TTTCCAATATTGTTCCAAATATATTCTTTTGTGTTCAACAGCACGAAGGAATCTCATACAGGTTTAGAACATCAACAGAATTTTTGGGTGAACTATAATGCAGCCTTTGTTCTGTTGTAGCCTAATTTGTGACTGTTTACTTGTCTTCAGTAAGCTTATTTTTACTTAGTCTAGTATTATTTTTTGTGATATTGAAATTGGTAACAAAAATTATGAAATTTCAGTGCATCAAGAATTTTGATATGGTATAAAAATCCTATTTAAAGCTTTAATATATATATATATTTGGGTACAACGGGGCTAAAGGCACCCCAGGGTAAAAGGTGCTTTTGATATTATTTTCATCTAAACCACTAGATGGCACAAAAACGTGGCGTAGCACTTTCCAAAACATCTGTTTTGTTTTAGATAATTAAAGCAACAGTTTTTAAATAACAAAAGAATATGTAAAAGTATGGTATTTTAGCCCCCTGCAGTTGGGGCTAAATGGAGCACAGTAATTAACATGATAATGAATAGATGGCTGACTTTTCCATTTGTTGACATGACATGGTTAGATTCAGATGGTAAATATCATATATTATGTTGGGTGTCCATATTAGAGATAATATTGGGCTAGGCGGGGATGAAGCCCCGGGGCCCGAGTAAGGAGGGGGCCTGTGATAGGCTGTGGAGTAGATTGACTGGAGCGCCGAGCGCCAAAGCCACCACGCCCCCCACTTATTAGCGCTGTTATTTAGTTGAGCTTTCCCGTAAATTCCGTGTATTACCATTTGAGATTGAAACGTAAAGTTTGAATTTGGTTTACCAATCAAATGCATTTATTCTATATTTGACTTTTGGGCGATATGCGCACGTATCTATCAGGTGATTGCTGCTCAGTATGTCTGCATTCACCGCTCTTCACTTTGTTCTGGAGGAATCTGGAAATGGTCGCGCAAAGAACAACATTCCAATAAGTAAAAATGTCAGCAATTCTAAAAAAGAGAGTGGCTCAAAAAACGAAAAACTTCAAATACAAACAACATAAAAACCATGACTTAGTAAATTCCCCAGCTATCAGGTTATTTTACTAAAGCTGATGATGGAGTGGAAGTTGCTGGAACAGCAAGTGAACCGGGCACATGGAGCAGATAAAAACAGTGTCATCGTCCACACAGATTGTAGGTTAGTTTGATTATTAGCTGGATTTATATTGTTTTTGTGCTTGAACAAACTATATTAATTTAAGGGTTGGGAGATAATCCGGTAGAAATATATCAATCGTTGATTGAAGCGCGTCATGATGTAGTCTAAGCTTATCATTTCAAGATGTTTTAAGCAGGTTTTAAAACAAATGGTTTATACTGTTCATGGATATTATACTGTGGGGCAGAATTCATTCAGATAAGTGCATGCGTTAAAACAGTTTCTACCTGATACACCTGCTCGTATTACTGACTGAACTTTCGCTCCTTGTGCTTAAACGGTCAAATACACATAGTTATGTGTCAAAATGCCCGTCTTTGCGAGTATCCTCATAAACACAGTTATTTGTGTCTGAAATGAATGTTAATAGTTAAAGATAAAGCATGTGTTAGGCTATAAGAGATCCTATATGATCAGATATATGATGAGATTTTTAAAGGATATTCACCCAAAAATTAAGATACTGTCATCATATACTTACCCTCAAATTGTTCTAAACCTCTATGAATTTCATATATGGAAGTAGTGAGGTCCCAGCAACTGTTTGTTTACCAATATTGTTCCAAATATATTCGTTTGTGTTCAACAGCATGAAGGAATCTCATAATCTCATACAACATCAACAGAATTTTTGGGTGAACTATAATGCAGCCTTTGTTCTGTTGTAGCCTAATTTGTGACTGTTTGACTGTTTACAGTAAGCTTATTTTTACTTAGTCTAGTATTATTTTTTGTGATATTGAAATTGGTAACAAAAATTATGAAATTTCAGTGCATCAAGAATTTTGATATGGTATAAAAATCCTATTTAAAG